ATCCTTTTTCGAATGTCAGCACAGCAGAATCATCCCAGTTAGAAGAACAACTTTTAGAATTGACCACAAATGAGGAAATCAAATTCAAATTCAAGAATGGCTATCAAGAATTTTGGCTGCAAAAGCCAATCATGGAGCTGTACCCTAGTTTATGGTCGATTGTTCAACGATTTCTGATAGCATTCCCATCATCGTATTTGTCTGAACGTGGATTCAGTGCTGTAGCAACACTGCTAACAAAAAAGAGAAATCGGTTGCTTGTTACCGAACGCGGTGATTTACGGCTGTTTTTAAGTAAATTTGAACCAGATATTAACAAACTCGTTAATGCACATCAAGTTCATCCATCACATTAAGTAAATTTTATATTTTGAATTCATAACTTTTTTAGCATGATTTTAATAAAAAAAATTTTAATTATAAATGTTTCGTTTTAATAAAAATACTTTTAAGTATGAAAAAGTATGCGTTTTAATTGCTGTCATCCAAAAAGCTAATTTAAAATTTATGTTAGAACTCAGAAATTAGATATAGCATATTTATATATTATAGATTGTAATATCTATTTTTAAAAGACATAACAGATGCTAAGTTAAATTTTTTTTTTTTTTTGGGGGGGGGGGCGCTAGAAAATTTTTGATTCTCAAAGTGGGCGGTGGATGAAATAAGTTTGAGAACCTATGGTTTAGACGCTCCTTATCTTAGTCCGTGATTTAAAGAAAAAAATATTTTGATTAAAATATCGACCACTTGACCGGTTGAGCGCTAGTTGTAATTCTTACTGGCAATTCTCCTATGGAAACGTTGCGCTTCAGAATCTAAAGGTTCGTTGCGCAACCTGTCTATCTTAATTCGTGCTCTATGTATATTGTATAATGTAATGAATAATCATCATTCATTACCACTTTTTGCGTTACCTACCTATAGGTAGGTTATATAGTATGTATAGTATATATATAGTATACATATATACTCAGATTTAAAATTTTTTTTATGCTTTTAAATTTTAATGTAGGTATTAACATTCAGTTTGTATGATTAAATGAATATTTTAACCGTCCCCCCGGAAATTAAGCTAAAGCTAAGCAAAGAAGGGGAACGCCGTCCCCCAACTTTAACCACTGACAGTAGGTAATCACACACTCACACCAGAATAAAAATAAATCAAAACACTATAATTTTGTAAACGATAAAGTAAATAAGAAACAAGAAACTTTTCAAATATTTGTCTTAAAAAATATTTTTATGAAATAATATGCACTAACGACTGTAAAATATCGATTATACACCCAATATGCCTTTACACCCAAAACATGCAAAAACATGCACTATCAAAATTCATATTATTATTACTATTGTTATAAAACAGATTTGTATCTCAGTTAACATGTTTTCATGTGTAGCAAAGAAAACATGCAGATGCATGAACTTACGAGCCCTGGTGATCAGTGTTGTTTTGTTCGTACGAGTAACTAGTTGCTATTCAAGTTGAATTTTAAATTTAAGTTTATACGCGTAATTTGTTTGTTGTAATGTCTCATATCAAACCGATGAAACGTAAAATTTACCAAGAAAGACGGGCTTTTCAAGAAAATGGGCTATGCATATTTTTTTAACTTATTCTAATTCTCTTCCAATATGTTTGATCTGTAACCAAAGCGTATCTGTCATCAAGGAGTACAATATTAAAAGACATTATGACACAAATCATGGTAATATTTAAGATAAATTTGTAGACAAATTACGCAAAGAAAGGAGTTCCAGAAACACTTCTCTAACATTTTATCCATATTTGGTAGCTCTTATGTATGTGAACAATTATTTTCTCTCATGAAATTAAATAAATCAAAATTCGGAATAAAATTTCAAATGTCAAACTACAATCTGTTTTACATTTGGCATCAAGAAATTCTTGCTCAAATATAGATGACTTGGTACAAAAGAAAAGATGTTAAGTTTCAAGTGCAGCTCAAAAATAAAAATTATCAAATATTCAAGCTATTTTTAAATTTAAATTATAATTTTTTTTTTTAAGTTTATGTTCATTATATTTTTTCAAATGATAATTTTGTAGTAATAATAAGTAAATAAATGGATTTAGTATGTATTTTTGCCTTCATTTTGTCTTTAGTTTCTAGTGTATAAGTATAAAAATGACACTTAAAATTTGGCCCTCAAATTTTTTTTGAAAAAATATATGGCCCGTAGGTAATTTGAGTTTGATACCACTGATCTATACTATATTATCCTCACTATCTCGACTGTCGTCACTAAGATATCGTAATTTTTCCATCAGAATTTAAATATTTTCATCATTATGTTTTATCTGTCTATTTAGGATTTCTCCTTTTTCTATTTCACAATTTAGAATTATTTTACGCTGTGGATATACACCCGACCATGGTCGGGATTATAGTAGACACCCAATATTATAATATTTATTGATATATTTTATAATTATGTTCAGTGTTCACTGTTCACTAATTAATATTTAATAGCAAGGTAAACCGTAAACACTTGACTGCCAACATTGGATAGTGGATACCTCGTGAAAGCCAATTTATAAGGTTAGGTATAAATGTAAGTAATTATTTGTATTGTAATTTGTAATTTATTAGGTTAATTATTATATTATATTATTTAAAATTTGCATAGCATTTGTCGCAAAACCAATGCTTGCTGTGTTCCTTAGTTTTTACACAATCCATATGATGCCAAACCAAGCAAGAGTCGCACAAAATAGATGGTCGTTCTTCTATTTGATAGTTGCACGTTGGGCATATCCATATGGTGTTTTTTTTTTTTTTTTTTCATTAAAGAAATTACTGCTTTCCATGCTTCTTTAGAACAGTATGGCTTGATACTCGCTACATCAATCTCGTTCTCAACAATTACATTGGACACATTTTCTGGATGTTGGACATCTCCTTCTTGTATAAGGTATTTTTCTTTCCTTACCTTTCTTACCACAGCCTTGTTGGAGAGCCATTCCATTACCAAGTTTTCCTTGGTCAAATAGTTTAGTAAAACGAATGGTACTGGTTTAACTACTTTTCGTTTGATCTGTAAACCTATTGTAGTTTTTGTTGCTCCCTTAGGTCTACCACAGCATTTAACTTTTTTTGGTAATATTACATCTTTTATGGCAATTTTAACATTTTCATTTTCAGTTTGAGTTTTAACAACATAAATTTCGTCACTTGTTGACTGACCTGTTCCAACATTGAATTGACATTCATCAGGTTGATCAATTGCTTCGCAAACTAGGCTTGTTGACGGTATGTCATTTTGACTGTACAATTCTTCCAGCTGATCATTTTCCTCACAAACTAGGCTTGTTGACGGTACGTTGTCACTATCCAATGTACTTTTTCCTAAATGATAAATTTCAAGTTAAATAATGTTGTAATTAATATTTTCTTACATAGGTACCTGACTGATCATGTTGACTATAAAATTCTTTGGGCTGATCAATTTCCTCACAAACTATGCTTGTTGACGGCATGTTGGACAATTGTACAATACTAATTTCTTCATTTTTGCTCCACAAACTTATAATATTGTCCAATTGAGCCATTCTTCTTTCATAGGTATGTTGTGAAGATATAGATAGAAGTTCGGCTAATTTAGATAATTTTATTGATGATTTTTGAAATTTTTCATTGGCTGATAATAGTCTTTTTGAATTTTTAGGTTGTATGTCAACCAAAACAGGAGTTTCACCCTCGCATGGCATCAGTGGTTCTTTAAGTATAGTTTGAGACTTATAATAGTAGTTGCGTGTCCATCTTTTATCACACAGTTTCTCATCATACAAACAATTATATGTTGATCTACGTTTATTAAAAATATGAATACATGGCAATTTCATCGAATTAAAAAATCCACAAGAGCATACAGTTAACGTAGTAGCACATAGGACATTACTATTGTCTGTGCTTGATAGACTTTGTTTTAAATAATTAAATGCATATGGCGTCAAAAGCTTATAATATTTATACTCGTCATCGCTTTTAAACTTTTTGGTCGGATGTTTTTGTATGATACCAATTGTCTTGCTATCCCTCTCCGAACGAACACACTTGAGAACTACAAATAGTTGTTTAAAGAAGTCCGAAAGGTTTGAAAAGGTTGGTATCACAGATTTTAATTTAGAATTAAAACTTTCTAGTCTGTTATTGGTTGCATTTAAAAAGTTACCACTATTGAATGCCAATCCAGTAACCCATTCTTCACGGATATCATGCCAATTTTTAATAAAATAATGTTTTACCGTATGAGGAGCTTCACTTAAAAAAATGGTATACATATCTTGGTACTCTGTCTCGCTTTTGCAGTAACATAACTTTTCTATTATACCTTTACTTGTATCCCTTTCATCGGGAGTTATTCCTAATTTTTCGCAAGTGATTTCGCGATTGAATGTGCGCAGTGTGTGGAATAAACAAATGACCAGTCTACACTGTGGGAATAAAGATTTAATTACAGTTCGCTCCTTCATATCTTTATCTGTAATAAAGACTCTTGTCATTGAACAGGCTGGGTTACATTCTTTAAACTTGTTAAAAAACCATTCTAATGTCTCTCGCTGTTCATTGACCAACAATCCAAAAGCTGCTATCTCGCTTTGACCATTGCCATCCTCGATCAACAAAACATATAATGGAATTTTGATGTCTATCAACTTGTACGTAGCATCAGCGCAAACCATCTACATAGATATACATTAAGTACAGTTGTATATTAATATTATATTTAATATGTTCATTTTATAGATAATCACCTCGGGGAATGCTTGAAACTCTTCCTTCATTCTTGAGTCCTGGATAAACATGCCCATGAAATTTCCTTCGTGGTCTGTTAACAGTTCAACATTGCAGCGATAAAGCTTTTTGACGTCTTCCACTGTTTCCTCAAAAGTTTTAACTCCTCGCTTTTTTATCTCTGTAAAATAACGAGGTTTAACAATATAAACTTTTTAATGTAATAGACTTTGTGTTTCATGTACCTGTACTGCGTATGTTGGATAAGTCTCTTAATGTTACCATTTTACCGGTTTCAGTGTGGATTTTGGACTGGATCAACTTTTTATTTGCCTTCATATCCATAAGCTCGAGTACTTCAGCTCTCATTTGAGGTGCCAAGCGTCGTTGATTTGGCAAATTGGAGAACAACAATGCAGAAGTCTCATGGTTATGTGTTTCGTCCATTTGGGATATTTCCAACTTCATGCCATCGCTAGTAACTCTCACATAAATAAAAGCTGGACAATTTTGTTTCATTGTGCTAGATAATATAAAATAACATTAATGTCCAAACCTAATGGTAATGAGTATGAAGACTGTTTGATAATACTTACGATGTGGATCGTACATCTTCACATTTTTTACTTTTCTTAAAAGCACCGCCATGTATACAAATAAACTTAATAAAATAATATTTTAAACTATCTGGAGTAAATTCCAGTTTCTTCGGATATTTCCGGCGAGCTACATTTAAAGTGCGACAATCACTCGTGGAAAAATCATGAAAAAATGTTTTTTTGTAATTTTTAAACTCACTTTGAAAGTCAGAGTATGACTCGAATAACTGACCAACGGCTAACATTCTGTTTCTTTAATAATAATTGTTTAAAAGTTTAAGACAAGTCACTTACCGTGTTATGGAGTAAACTTTATGACAAATGTGATCTTGTATTAAAAAAAGAAATGTTGGGAAATGTTCACAATTTATATTTCAGGTTTTCAATAGAGAGGGAATGAGGTCCATCACAGATTACGAATCAAGATAACATTGATCTAAAGACGCTATATTCATGTTATGCTATTTTAATAGCATCAATGCAATGATGTACTGAAATATTGGGTTTAACTTATACAAATTCAAATATAAAACGCCGCTCATTCGATAACAATGGGGTCGTGTGTCTCCTATCAGTCCGACCATGGTTCATCTAATGTCACTTCATCTGCTATAGTAATAGAATTATCTTAATAGCATCAATGCGATGATGTACTAAAATATTGGGTTAAAATTATATTATACAAATTCAAATATAAAACGCCGCGCATTTGATAACAATGTGGTCGGGCGCCCACTATAATCCCGACCATGGTCGGGTGTATATCCACAGCGATTATTTTAAATAAATCTGTGTAACCTATTATTTATTTATTATTATTTCTGTCCATTTCTTATCTATGTTCTGAATATCGTCACAGAATAAATGAATAAATATATCGTATTAATCGTCCAACACTTAACGTCTGACGTCTTACCGGCGCATCACACACACACACACACACACACACAAGCGATCGGTACTAATACCATACGACGACTTGCGTGCCGCAAGGTCCTCATTACCCGAGTATACAGGTACAAGGGCTGAGGACCCCGTCAGGTATATAACTAATACCGAGTCGATATTGGTGCAGCGGCTGCGTACGAGTTGATTCCCGGGTACCTGTTTACCTGCACCGACACCGTTGAGTTGATTCCCGGGTCATTAGAGGGTACGTACGAGTTGATTCCCTATTGTTGTATCAATTATCAATAGATTGCACGAGTAAAGAGTTAACGACCGTAAAGAGTTCAACCGTCACACACAACTCGCTCTTATGTCCACCGAGACCAAGCGCGAATTTACAAAAAAAAAAAATCATTACACGTCGCACGCGAATGCTTGTTGGTCGAACGCTTTATCAAAGATTATCATCAATTCTCGATTATCGTCAGATTATCGTCAAAGGCGTGTTTTGGCGGAGTAAACTGTTTAGTAAATAAGTTTATGGTTATAGAATACGGTTAGAAAACGTTTACTGGAACGCCAAAACGATTAAACGTTTGATCTGTTTACTGAAATATTTGATAAAACTTATCATAGAAATACCGGCATATAAAATGCAAATTATCACGTTTTTATCATAAACTTTTTAGTAACCGAATCTCAGTAAACCCTCTTACCAAGTCGAAATCGACGGTTAGAAAATTCACTAAACACGTTCACGAAATTAGTTACCTGGTTACAGTAACCGTAATCGCGAAACGATATCAGTAAACAGTTTACTAGCGGTTAGCGCCGGTTACACCGCCAAAACACGCCTATTGTTATAACCTACGTATATGTTATTTATCATAATAATTGATTTTAGATAGTTAGATAGCAGTTTTTATAGTTGAACATAATCTAGAATATTAGGAATGTTCCAGTATTGTTGCAACCATTATTAGTTCAACGTAAATTGTGTCGTTGTGTTAAAACTGTTGTGTATTTTTCGAAGTGTACATTTTTCAATAAATATGGAATTTATATTGAGTGAAAAGTCTAAACCATTAATACCAATAGATGGATATACGTTTTGTTTCCATAAAATGCTGGCAAAAGATATCCAACGCTGGACATGTAGCAAGAGTAACTGTTGTAAGTGTTATTTAAAAATCGATAATAGTAAGATTATAGAAAGCAACACAGATCATAAGCATGACAAAATTGACGAAAATATTAGTAAGCGGCAAGCGCTGAGCAATTCCTTAAAAAGAAAAGCTGTTGAAGATGTTTTTGCGAAGCCTTCAAAATTAATTCGCAGAGAGTTGAAACATGGAGATATAAGTACTTTAACGAATAATAATGACTTATCTCTAATACGGCATAATATACATCGAGCCCGTTCTATTATTCATCCTTCACTGCCAAAAAGCGCCATGGAAACTCACGCAGTTTTAGAATCTATGAACTACACAACTAATGACAATGAACAGTTTATATTTGTTAATAATAGCGTGAGTTCTATTATAGGTTTTTCTACTGAACGTAATTTGAACGTTTTATGTGACGTCACAGACATTTATATGGATGGGACTTTTAATGTCTGCCCTAAGTACTTTACTCAACTTTTTACCATTCATGGATTTAAAGATGACGTATATATACCACTTGTATTTTTCTTGCTTCCCGACAAAAAAAAGATCACTTACGAGCTAGCGTTCAAATATTTGGTTGATCACTGTAGTTTGCACGGTATGACACTCGAACCTGTTCAAGTATGTATAGATTTTGAGATTGCGATTCATATGGCAGTAGAGAGCGTGTGGCCAACATCACAAATACGAGGGTGCAGATTTCATCTAGCCCAAAGTTGGTGGCGGAAAATTCAGAATCTAGGTCTCTCGGCAATTTACAAAGACACTAGTTCAGAAAACGAGACCGGTAATTTTTTGAAATTATTTTTGGCCTACCTTTTTTAAGGCCAATAGAAGTTATTGATTGCTTTACAGACGAGTTGATGGCAATTCGACCAACAGGAGACGAAAGAATAGAAGAGTTTATGGACTACGTATTTGACAATTATATTTCTCCAGAAGCTAGTTTTCCACCAAGTATATGGGCTCAATTCTCAACTACTTTAAATAGAACTACGAATAGTTGTGAGAGTTTTCACTCTAAGCTCAACAGTTGTTTTCATAGTGGGCACCCAAATATTTTTTTATTTATAAATGAGCTGCTAGAAGTACAATCTGAAACTTAAATTAAATGCAGAAGTAATGAAACTAAAAAATCTAAAAAACATCAAGAAAAACTAATTTTTTTAAGATAAGAGATGTCACGGTATACTGGTAATCTCATTACCAGATACCAATTTATAAAAACAATGTGTTACAAATTTTTACCAAATTAATAATTTTTTTTATATTTTTTTAACTAGTTACTACCAAATGTTTTTAATAATAATTTTTTACCTAATTACAACTAAATATAATTCAATAAATAATAAATAAATAAAAATTAAATGATTTTCTAAAAAAACTAAAAAAACAACATTTTTGAGAAACTTGTCAGCCAACCTCCTCGTGGTGTTTCTTGGGTTATGCTAATAGGCTGAATATCTTACTAAATATTGAATAAAATATATAATGACCTGGGAATCAACTCGTACGTACCTCTTAATGACCCGGGAATCAACTCGTACGTACCTCTTAAGGACCCGGGAATCAACTAATACATGAAAAAGGTCTCGGGAATCAACTCACCTATACCGGGTGCAGCACACATTCACCCCTCGGGTTGATGCAGAGCGGTCGAGCCGCAATCAAAAGGAACGGCAAGTGCAAGTCAAGTCTATCAAAGCACTAGAAAATCATTGAAAAAAAATTCAATAATTCCGAAATTCAATCTCAATAGCATGCCTACATCGTGTCAACACGACAAACGCCCAAACGCACTAACAGAATTTGTGCTGATTAAAAACCAGCTAGGGCGCCGCGTAAATACCGGCCTATCGCACGACACATTTCGTACGCACATCCGTCTACGAAGGCCATTGACCAGAGTTGAGATGTTTAAAACATTTTGTTTTAAACACTTGTTTAAAACATGTTTTAAACAATTTAAACATCTAAATTGATCAAACATGGTTTTGTTTAAAACGTTTAAAACAAATGATTTAAACAACATAAAAAAAACAGCTAGTTTAAAACAGAAAATCATAATTTATGCGCATATAACTTATTATTTGTAAGTTCGTACTGGTAACTCCTATTTATTATTATTTTTTAATTCATAAACAAATTTAAAATTTATAAAATGTATAATGATAATTTTACTTATTTAAATTACTAACACTTCAATGGTTATATAATATATTATTTCTGTAGTTCTGTAGGTAATATATTTATTAATTATTTATTTATTAGAAACTATAATATTTCCAAATGTCATCACGTCTTCGTCCCTTGAACATGTGTTTTATCTTTTAAGTTTTATTTTGTTTCACACTGTCGCTAATGTAGTATTGTAGTAATGTCAGATGCAGAAGAATAACTCAATAACATCAAAATTAAATTTCATTGATATCATATCATATTATTATTTAATATTTTTTACCTTTATCATATTTTATAATCGGAAATATTGTGGCGCAAACCCACCAAAATTTAAAATAGTAAATACAGTAATCAGTATTCTTTATCACGATGTAGATAACAGATCAGTTCTTTATCATCAATCATTATCAAAATATTCAAAAACGATTTTTAAGTGTAAAACCGATAGCCGTGGTTAAATTACACGTCAAGTTATAAAAAAATTATGATATTAAATTATTAAATAAATGATTTTTTTTAAAATAAATTACATATTTTGTTTTAAACTCGATTAAATCATGTTTTAAACATGTTTAAAACAGCTGAAAAAATCATTTTAAAAAAACATGTTTTAAACAAAAAAATCATGTTTTAAAAGATTAAAACAATTTTTTTGATTTTTTTAAAAAAATCATGTTTTTAATCAACTCTGCCATTGACGTTCAGCCAGCTACGACGCATCGCAGACGTCTTGAATACGGTAACGGACAACACCAACCCGCCTCCAATAAGTCACTGTGACATCTGCATCTGTTTCTTGTGTAGGATGTGTGGTGAACAAATTACTTGTAAGATCTTCAAGTAATTTATTTTCTGATTCAATTATATTTAAGGCAACAAAGTGGATATGTTTACAAATTATAGACTTAATTGAATAATCTAAACATGAACATTCAAATGTATGAATACATATCTTACATGCAGAGCAAACCATGGCACAACATATTTCATTATTCACTTGTTTTACAATGTATAATTGATTTGGTACATTTTCACTCTCCACATTCCAGGTATTATTATTATCAAAGTTCATTTTAAGATTCATTGTAATGCTTTTGATGTGTCTTTTTTTAATCTCTTGGATTCTAGTGGTGGATTGACCATTAGTCAATTTCACCATCCTTTCAACTTTTTTATCCCTAGTATACCGTCGTATTATTAATATACTTTTGTCTAAGCGTCCAACTTTACAACCGTTTAAATAATGCTATTTTATCGACTTATGCATAAATTCTAAATGCATATTGCAGTTCATTCCTAAGCCTTTTCTATAACAATAAGCCCATAAAGTAGTTCTATTTCCATATGTTCTGTCAAAGTATAGTCCAAATTCCTTAGTATCAGGGTCATTTTTCATTACACTACTAAATTCCTTTAAACTCTGATTAAATTCTGTTTCAGAAGTCATTGTTTGAAGAACTATTAAAGATTTGTATACTGTAGATTGCTTTTCTTTACGCTGAGAACCAATAATCTTCGTTAAATTTTGTCGCCAAGCCTTGTCAACATGCCATGCACATAAAATTCGATGAGGGACCGGCCCCATGATATTTTCCCATGCCAAGTAAAATGTTTCAACAATATCAGACATGAATGTTTGTGGTTGTATTATACCTATAACATCTTTAATAGCTGAGAACATTACAGTATATATATTGGTATCTTTCAAATTTGTAAACATAAAGCAACACGGAAAACCTGAGCCAAAATCATCAACAACCATTAATGTTACTAATTCAAAATCATAACCATTAAGTCCGTGAGTTCCATCAATGCATACAATTTTTTGCTGTCCAAATTTGTGTAACATATATTTCTGTCCGGGATCCATTAAAATTATACAAAAATCTTTTAAATCAAGCCTGCCTTTGTCATCGACCTCACCTGAAATATTTTTAAAAAAAATTGTTTAAGATTTTAGTTAAAATAAAGTGTTGTTGGTAATTGTTTAATAATAATAAAAGTATTTCTAAATAATATATGAAATTCATTAAAACGTATAATCTACCTTGTCTTTTATAGTAAATAACACAGTTGTTCTCTTTTTCTTTTTTCATTTGTTCAACCCATATGTCAACACTTGTGGCATCACTCTTATGGAATTGACCATCTTTAAATTTAAATTATTCTTTTGTTTAATATTATGGAGATCAGACCTTGTTATTAAATCTTCTCTTTTCAAACTATTTCCTATATTTTCTCGAACATCATCTAATATCCTTTTAAATGTGACACCCTGTGATAACTTAGCAGCAATTTCATGTTTTTTAATATCTGGTATTTTTAAAAATATGTTGAAGTTCGATTTCTTTTTGTCCATAATGTTCTTTATAAAAAGTGACTTCACATTTACCTTCAAATGACTCAAATAGTATTATGTGGCTTGTACAATTTTGATTAATTTTTTTACTGCCCTGTGTTTTAATCATTCGTTTTGAGTTCTCTCCTTCTTTATGGAAACCTGTTCTGCAGCATTCATAATAATATCTTTGACCATCTTTACATTTTTTTTGGCCTGTATTTTGAATGTATTCAATATCATTTTTTAATTCATAATCTCTTTTCCAGGCTTGAAATTCTAAAATGTTAAAATAATAATATGCTAAGATGTAAGTACCATATTGTTTTCCACATATTTAAAAATGGCTAACTTTCCTAAATTATATCATTAAACGTACCTAATACATTTTCAAATTCTATTATTTGTTTATTTATAGATAGTCCATGGACCTTATTCAAATGATCTATCAGCAATGTCTTCTTCGAAAAATTAATATCACAATCATTACACTGAGACAATTTTAACTTGATTTCACCAGATTGACATTTTAAACTTTTTTGATGTCTATTTAATGAAAACTTTGTTGAGAATCCAATTTGACAAATTTCACAATTAAAATTCATTTTATAAAAATTTAAAAAAAAAAATGTTTAAAAGATTTTAATTGGACTAGGACTGGCTAGTTTTAAATTAGTCGGATATTTTTATTTTTATTCTATGATAGCCATGCCTTTTATGATAAAAAAAACCCCTCAAATCATTATTTATAAACTTTTAACTATTAACTTAATAACATGTAATGAGATTACATTGTACAAATTTGAATTTACCGCTCTTATTATGTTATAAAACTGATAATAAAATACCGGTTATCACACCCTGGTGTTATCACACCATGCGTACAATCATTGTTGAATTATTTGTTCACGCGCGCATTCGTACAATCATTGCACCATTCCTGTGTTTAGACGCTCCTTGGAAACCAGTTTAATCCTTCAATGTCCCGATAACATGCGAGAAATATTTTTTAAAAGCGTTAGACAATTATTTTTTTCTAAAACATTTGTTAGTTTTTACTGTATTTTTAACCCAATTTGACCATGTAGTGTTTCGAATGATTTTTCTACATCATTTATTATTTGAATTGAGTCAAACAATAACAAATCCTTTCTTGTAGTTTTTTGAAAGATGTAGTCAGAATTTGATTTGATAAAAATAAGATCTGTATCTATACAGTTTTTATTGATGTATTTTTTTGCCTTTTTGATGCTGACTCGTCGTTGTCAAGTTTTTCAAAACAGAATGAATTATATTTAAATTTTCGCAGTAATAATTAGAGGCCGTTATCCATGTACCCCATCGGGTAATGATAGGTTCTGGAGGAAGATTTATTTCGGGAGCTTCAGATTTAAAGTTGTATACGGTTTGGAGCTTTTCTAAACGTTTTTTTAACACTGGCTATGACTTTATCAACTGATTTGAAATGTCCTTTAACTTCTTCTGTCACCCTAGGAAGGCCATGGGCAGCACATGTCACATGAATCATTTTAGTATACAGTGTGTGATACAGTGCTGTAGCCGATTTTATCATGTACGGCATAGCGTTAGTTAAAAATAGTAACACTCTATCACGTTCAATAACCATTAACTGAATGGAATCATCAAACAGTTTGCTTATCGTTGATTAACGGTTGATCTACTTCCAAAATGCCCACTATAACATTTACAATGAAACGCCCTTCTATGTCTAAAGTTTCGTCAATGCTAATAAATTCTTGTTAGAAATTTCTGATTTAATTTTTTCCATTGTTTCAATATATATAGAATCGATATATCCTTGTCTTAATGTAGATTCCATTGGAATTTCTTTACCCGTGTAAGTACTTAAAAAACTGCAGAATCAGTTATTTGAAAGTTTATTTAGAGGTATGTTAGCGGACAATAAGGCCCGATACAAATCTTTATCGAAACATGATTTCTTACTTGAATGTGTTAAAAATGTCTGTTGTGATTTTACTGATTCTTCTTGTTTACGTTTAATTGCTTTTGTATGTTTGTCAGTTTTAAGATGTTGTGTTACATTGAATTTTTTTTCACAATTTACTTTAATTTCACAGCATTTGCAGAAAAGAATGGATGAATCGTGTGAAAACGTATCTGAACCGAATTCTTGTACATTTAGCTTCTTAACCGTCGGGCTAGTGATAATTTATCTTTTGGCATGGTATAAAAAATATGTTTTAATGAAAAACACTAGCTGAACACAGAAAAATTTATAAATTTACAAATTCACTTTACAAATAAAAACGTACATACGGGAGCAATCAAAAGTCGTCGTAAACTATCGATTACGTCGTTGTAGATCGGAACAGTCTATAATTATTGGGTTAAGTATGGTCGAAGTCGATAACAGAAACAACATTAAGATATAAGATACGATAAACACAATATTGACTTGCATTGGGATATTTTAGGAATATTTTTTTCAATCGACAATGAGTTTTATAACGTATCAAAACTGTCGATCACTGATGAGTGGCCGAAATATGTATTTTTGCAGGACTGAGTTTTTGATTTTTACATTAATTAGCAATAAATAGCAAAATAGTCGAAAAAATAGCAAAACCTCTAGAATATTCAAAAATATGCACTAACAACTTTTATAATTGAGTTCATTTTTGTCTGAAATGGATTTATTGCTATAAATTAACTCTGCTATATTTTCATAAACTACAAAAAAATATGCAAATGCTACAAGTCCGAGCCCTGCTTATAATAAACAAAAGCAAATTTTTAACTATAATAAATTTGGTTTAATAATGATATATACCTCATACAAAGATTTTCTTTTGGTTTCCAACAAGTGCGGTGGATTTGATATATCAAACAGTGTTGGTATAGCACTTGGCTTGAGTTTTTTTACACTATCCTGACGATTTTGTTCAAATTGCCCTTCTTCAAAATGGATCTATTGGAATATGCATAAGATATAAAATTATATTTTATTATATTACGATATTTATATCTAATGCCTATATTCTGAAGGAAACCACAAAAAATATTAACATGACTAAATTGTATTAATAAATTATGATCTAATACTTACTTCACACAACTCAGAATAATTTGTAGGCTGCCATTTGTCACAGCGACAATTTTGTAACCAAGTTTTTCGTCTTTTAGGGTCTCTTGGAAACCGAAAAAGACGTAAACCTTTGCTACGTGTATTTGAACCCTTTACAGCTGTACAACCGCCCATTTTTGGTAGTATTTTATAGTTATAACTTATATTCACTTGAGAATTAAAAACTACATTGTATTTCAGACGTTCAGAGTTTGATAATTTAAGGGTTAACTACTTGGTTTATAGGTCTATAGTTGAAACCATATAGATTTTTAGTTTAACTTAAAACAAAACGTATCTGTAATCTGTATTCTCAACTATTCTGTATGTTTGAAACAGTGATAACTGGTAATCATTTGTCGCAAAATGGCGGACGATTATACTTACTTATATAGGGCAGGGTTGCAAGATGATGTGTTAGTCGTATAGCCAGTAGAGCTCGTTCAGGTCGCCCAAAATAGCCATTATATCAAAATTAGTTAGGTAGCCCAATATAGCCAAATTCTATCTCTATGGCAAAACGTCGTAAATAGAAAAAAATTTTTCTTGGATGCACTGCATTTTGATATCATAATATCCTAATATTGTTCCCTGCTTATTCTGTGCCTGTATTTTCACATCATAATTGATAATACACAATTGCACTAAATTGACAATGCTTAATTTATACTATAAATTGTATAGTATAGGTATTAAATATTTAAGATTATACGGACTATAATATCTATAATACATAAAGAAAAATTATTTTTGTTTTTAATCCAATCATTTTTTTATATAACAAATTGTTTTGGAAAGCGTTTTGGGGGCGCCTCAAAAATTTGTTTACGAATGTAGAATTTTTGCATAATATATACTTTAAAAAAAAAAAAAATTATATTTTCGTTATTACACGTTCAATGCCGCGGCCTATTCGCCGTGCCGTTACCGCGTCGCCGCAACGAATTTCCGCCCGGTCGACTATTGTAATATATTACGTTATTTGTCATATACCTATTTCTTGTAATCGTCGCGAACTTATCGCACCGACGACCGAGCGATCCCACATCCACTAATAGTATATATAAGACTTTTAAGCCATTTAAAATCCTTGAAGATAGAGGCACTATTTCCAAATATTGAAGTGGCTCTAAGAATATTATATTTGAGTATGGGCGTCACAAATTGTAGCGGAGAAAGATCTTTTTCTGCTCTAGGGCGGGTGAAAAACTTTTTAAGATCCACTTTACGCCAGGATAAAATGAAGGCCCTTGCACTTTTGTTTATTGAAAGAGAATTCATGAACAATACTTCTTTCGATGAAATAGTAGTCTTTCGTAGCGTTAAAATCAAGGGAAAAACTTTTTTAAATGAATAATATTTAGTTCAATAATAAATTAAAAATGTTTAAATGCTTTTGTGTATAATTTTATTAAATATAAAACACGTTTTATTTTAAACAAAAAAAGTCTGTTGTTTTTACGTTTTCTTAATCCTCGTTTTACCCTCCAACCACTCCGATCATTCATAGGAGCGCCAAATCAACCCTAGCCTACTGGTGACCAACTCCTTAATCAGGCCCTGATAACAATTAATAATATATCAATAATGGGAAGTCAGTGTATTGTAAAATAAATGTAAATTAAATAAATCAAATTAAAAATCAAACTAGGTAGGTACTTCATAGTCTATAAGTATTGTAAAATATAATAATTGTATAAAATAATACTTATTTAATAAAAATAATTTTAGTCATATACATTGATTTCTTGGGCATCTTCACATTCAAAAATGTCCACAACTTTATCCAGGACTGTCACTGAATCTACACTATCTGATGTCGTCATTGTAGGTGAGTTGTACATATCAGATATAAACTTAAGAAACATTGTTTCTGTTGTCTTAAAACTTTTACAGCATACTTGACGAGCTTTATAAAGTATATTTAAATAAAACATAACTTAAATATAAACAGAATTAATGAAATGATAAACTACTTACATTAAGGTTAAGTCTAATTCTAAGTATTGCTTGTAACATATCGACATGCATACGGTTTCTTGATTTGCATTTAACCGAATTCATTTCACTAAATACTCTTTCAACAATGGCATTTGATAATGGCAGGGAAAGTATTTGCAATACAAATAGAGCCAATTCCTCAAATTTACTTTTCCCTCCTTCTGTAATATTTAAAATACCTGCCCAAAACTCTTGAGTGCTCTTTTCATTAATTGGAGTTGATGAATCACAAATATCAGCATAACTTAAAGATGAAAGATTTCTCCACTGCATTTCTTATATCTCTAAATCCGCACTGCATCCTACAAAATATCAAAATTTAGTAATTATTTAATATTAATACTTGTATCAACTATTATTACTTAAAAGCTCAAGCGGTAGACACCAAATCTAGGTGGAATAGGTGATAGAACCATTTTTGGATCAAAAAACCAGTTCTAATGTTATGTGGTAATCGTTTTAGAAGTTCTTCTGCGATTTTGAACGTTCTTTAAAGACTCTGGTGAAATATTGTTTTTGGTAGAAAGCTCATTAAATGCATAACCAAAATCGACGGCTTCTAAAGGTAAGCGTGCAAGAGGGTTTTTCAAAGCTTTTGATACCATGTCAATTTCTTCTATAAGCAAAGCACCTGGACACACGTCATCACGAAGAAAAATAGGCTTAATAATTCTTTTAACTACCGACATCAAAAGTAATTTTAAATCTCCATATACTTTGGTAATATCTGAATTCGTGCTTTGAAATGCCAAGTTAACAACAGTTATTTCTTTTAAAATTGGTTCAAGAAATTAAAATAGATATAACAAATTTGTATTATCTTTATACATTTCATACAATGTAAAATACTATAATACGTTTCATTTTGTGCTGCCATTGGAAACAAGTCTTAAGTTCAAGCCATTGATCTAGAACAACTTTTTACAATTTTAAAAAGACAACCATCGAGTAGCACACAGTTTAACAAAACGCCTCTGTTTCAATGAAAAATCAATGAATGGGTAGCAATGTTAACAGCAAGCATAATGTCTATTTGTTTATTTTCTCTGGATACGTTAGATACTCCTAAAATAATAAATATGTACCTATTGTAACTATACAATAAACGTTCATGCAATAAATATAAAAATAAAATTCTTACCATAAGCACTTAACTTTGGTTGTGTATGAACAACTAAAGATTTAATTTTGGAAACATGTTTTGCAGTTTTACTATGGCTTAACAGATCACCATTGTGTGCTCTCAGTACTGTTTTGCAAACTGAACAGTAAGCTTCTTTGAGGGCATTATTCGCTGATTGTTCATCTGTGGCCTTTTTGAGCCAGCTTAAATTACATCCATTAAAATATTGAGATTAATTAATATTAAGTTTATTAGTTATTAAAATCTATACTAGTCTTTACTTAATTGCTACCTACTTACTCTGAAATTCCGATTTATTTTCCCAATCATTCACAAACTTTCTGGTGTACTTTGCCCACGTTGGCATAATTTAAAATATTGTCAGACTACTAAATAAAACTAATTTAAATGAAATGAATGATTCAATGACTAAATCAAAAATTTTTATGTTATACAGTGGGATGACGATAAGTGGAAACACTGTATACATTTTTAATTATTTACATTCACACATTTATTTACAATTATTTACAGTTAACAGAATCCAGTGTTTGGTAATCATATGCACGATACATGTTGTGTGCAAAATTCAATATTGTATATATGTTACGGTGAAAGACGGAAATTGGTGAATGTCGTCATTCTCCGGTCAATGACGTCATTAACCAAAATGATTCAGTTATGTAGGTAAATGTTGTAAAAACACATATTTTAAACTCAAATATATATGTTTCACCTGTCATTGACATCATTTATCAAAACTTGTGGTAAATGATGATAAATCTCAAATAATACACTGATTGTTTTAATATAGTTACTATTTAATTATGATTTATTGTTGGTGGCTGATTCATTTTTGAATCTCATTATTTTTGATTTCAATGAAATTAATGAAAGGTTAGGTTAATTGAAATGAATAAAATAGGTGAATATTATTATAAATTATTTATTTGTACAGTTTTGTAACTAACAAAGCTTTGTCGAGCACCTAATACCTATCCACTTATCACTGATCGTTCACACCGACACAAATGGGATGACACCGTATCGGCTCTGTGTAATTACTCCTTACCGTCAGTTAAGTGATCGTATTGCGTCCCATTACGTTTACGTATTGTGATATCTAGTTAATGACATATAATGTCAGTTATATAAAATTATAAATATTATATTGATCAATTTAAACAAGGAAAGATTCCCAGAGAAGAGTGAGTAAAACTTTCACTCAAGTTCAAATCACAATTTTTAACCTTCGTTTTTTTCAAGTCAACACTATTTTTTAAGTTAAAACTATTTTTTAAAAGTCAACACAATTTATTCAAGTCAAAACTATTTATTAAAAGTCAACACTATTTTTTAAAATTCGATACAATTCTTCCCATAAATGTATTGAACATCATTCTCCAATTAAACTGGGGATTGAAGTCAATAACCGGGGAATGTCTACATTTACAACATTTACCAATTTTTAGGTAAATTACGTCATTTACCGGGGAATGACGACATTTACCACGTTTACATCATTCACCGTAACATAAACATATATCGATCAGTTTTATGATATCTATAATGCATTTACTGAAGATTGATATCATATATGTAAAAATGAATATTATTATAATTTCCTTGAAATCATTTCTAAATTAGAAAATTTTGAAAAACATTTGTATTTTGATTTTAATATGATTGTGTAAGTATCCATTAAATCAATTTCTATATTTCCATTTAAAAAAAAAAACAGTCTTCTTCTATCTCAAAATTTATCTACAATTCTTCAATATCATCTTCAAACCAACTTAAATTCCTTCACTTCTGATTTCCGTCTTCATCTTCAAAATTACAAACTAAATATTTCCCAAATTGACAACTATATAAAAGATAACAGTTTAATGCACATCCACAACCAGGAATTGGCATCCCTGGCATCCCAGGTATACTTAAAGTTTTATTTTTCAACTGAACTACCTAATTATGTGTTATATTTATTTTTTTTTACAGGGAAAATGTTCAAAAAATACTGAACAAAAATTTTAATTATTATAAAATATTAAAATAAGTGATATTTTTTATGAAAAATAAATATTAATAATATGCATATATTTATATATTATACAGGCTGATTCTTTTATTATTGAACAGTGATTATTTTAAAAGGCAAGACGCGAGGCTCTACCTTTCTCCTGCTCAAATCACGTCAAATACACCAGGTCCCTGTGGAGACCGCCCCGAGTAATGTGGTGTGTCGATCCCCTCGGGCTGAGCGTTTTGGTGATTTAAATAACGGACACAATGTAATTATTATTTGATACACATTTACCATGTGCCCCCATTTATAATTATTTGTTACACATTTGGCATGTGCCCAATTTATATTATACATTTTTGTTGCGCATTTGCCGTGAGCCAAATCTCAACAATTACCTACTTTTAAATTATAAAAAACGTTATAATTTTCTAGTCGATAATCATGTAAAATACAGTCACCTGATTAGGTACCTTAAAATTTCTATTATTATTATCAACATTCAGATTGTCGATGCGTGTACTAAACCTGCAAGTTCCACCGACGGGCCTACACGCGGTGCGGCTTGCAGGTCGCAGTCAGATGTTCCGCTTTGGCTATGGGTAGATTCTGGTGTGTCAAAACAGCAGAACCTTACAACTGACAGAAATGGAAAACAGAATTCTTTCTAAACATTCTAATTTAACTGATACACTTTGAAATTAATTGTTAATTCATTTTTGAGTGTTTCTGACATTTCATTTTTTCGTTCCCCATATCTTCTCTAATAAAATTGGCTCATATTTAGTAGATCTCAACTTTGATTGTATTACTATAATATCTATTGCTGATATTAAGTATAAATGTTTTGTGGTAGGTATAGGATTAGGCATGAAACAATTAATAATGAGTAGGTTAACCTACATACAAAATATGTATAATAATATATAATATATAATAACTTTTAATGTAATTTGAATTTTGTAATTATTTGTTTTTATTATGTTTAACTTAAGTGTTAGGTATCTATATTATATTTTATTATTCTTTATTACCTTAATATTTCTATAGTAAATAATAAATTACTGGTATTTTAAATGAAAACTTGGGTGTTTTAAATACTAGCTGATCCCGTGCACTTCGTTGCCCATTAAAAATACCAACGCTATATGAATAATATGCTTTTTTTATAATATAACGGTTACCATAACAACAATTTTAAACCAATTATTATTATAATTATAGCTTTGAAACCCGCGGCGACCATATACAAACAAAAATCTCAAAATCCCTGTTTGAGCACGTCCCGGTGTTGGTCCTCTCCCCTTTTAAATTAGCCTATCTTCTGCCCAGAGATCTAACACGTCTATATGTATAAAAATATTTGATCCCGTGCACTACGTTTCCCATTAAAATTGACAACTCTATATGAATAATATGTTTTACATAAAACAATATAAAAGGTTGCCATGGTAATGTGGACACACACGGACTATATATATAAAATATCTGATCCCATGCACTTCGTTGCCCATTAAAGACCTATAATTATGATTATAATAGCTACAACACGCATGGTAACTATGGATCATGGTAACCTTAATAACCACGAAACCTTGGTAACCTTAGTAACCATGGTAATATGGACACACTGACATGAATGAATGTATGTCAGTGTGTCAGTGTGTCTGTGTGTCTGTGTGTCCATGTTACCATGGTTACCAAGGATGCCATGGTTACTAAGGTTACCAAGATTTCATATCAATCTATATATATAAAAATGAATGTATGTCAGTGTGTGTGTGTGTGTGGGTCCATATTACCATGGCAACCATATCTGTATATAAAAAACAGTAAGCTGATTGACTGCTATCAACGCACAGCTCAAACCATTGGACGGATCTGGCTGAAATTTGGCATACAGATAGCTATTATAATATAGACGTGCGCTAAGAAAGGATTTGCCAAAATTCGCATTTTAAATAGGTGCTGAAACAGGGACATTGAGATTCACGATAGAAATTGGAAATTTTATTTTTATTTATTTATAGTTGCCATTGGTTACAGTCTACATTAGAAATTAGCATTTATTTATTGGTTGCCATTGGTTATTCGGGCAGATCAGGTACAAGCTTGCATCAAATCGAATTATTGAACAATGCTTACCAGGGTGGCAGAGTTGCACTTACCGCAGAAAATTACACCCAAAAGGAGTTCAACAATCATAATTTTTTTAAGAGTTGCGATTTTTTACGAGCAACCAAATTTATTATATTAATCCACAGTATTACATCAAAATAAACTTGGTATAACTTTGATACTTTAGAGTTAAATCATACACTTCCGTACAAACAGCACGGGGTCCGCGATCTACCGCAGGTAGATTGCCTACCTGATAATGTACTGCCGCGATTCAGAATTTTTATTCAGGGCAACGGGAAAGATAAGATAAATTTTGAACACCATACACGTTAATGAATTGAACAAAGTTTGAGTAGGTAGTATTGAGTTGATCCATTTAACGGGCGACGAAGTGCACGGGATCAGCTAGTAGATTATATTTCAACTCATGTAGCATAAAATAAGTTAAATCTTAGTTTAACTAAAAGTTTAAAAGATCAATAAAAAAAAAAAAAAATTATTAATTATTTGTATTGTGTAGTATATTGCATTATTATTTAATAATCAATATCCTATGAAGCCTACACTTTCACAGTTGAGAATTTAGTCAATTCATACATTAATCATAACTTTATTCTTTGTGGTGACTTTAACTTACCTGATATCAATTGGTCTAATGATAGTCATGGTTTGGTATATTCTTCAACTTCTAGTAACAGAGCACAATTTATCCCTGAAACCTTTGAATTTCTTAATTTTTTTCAGGTCAATAACGTATCAAATGCATTTGGTTCATTGTTAGATCTTGTATTTGTTAATAGTAATCAGTTTAATGTTACTGCTGTTCATGATCCTTTAGTTCCTGAAGATCGTTATCACTCTGCTTTGGCTATTGATTATAACCCAGTTTTTAATTTACTCCCTATTAATTTCCATCATTCCTTTTTAAATTTCCATAAAGCAGATTACTTCCATATTTCCGAATTTTTTCTTACATTTAACTGGAGGGACACCTTTTTTAATTTTGATGCAAATTTAGCTATGTTCACTTTTTATGATGCTTTACATTACTCTGTTCTTAAGTGGATTCCTTCTGTTAATTATTGTCAATCTAATTTCCCATCTTGGTTTTCTAAAGACTAATTGATTTAGTTTTTTTAAAGAGAAAAGCCCATGCCACCTTTACGTCACCCTAATGATTATCGTGCGTTTTCTTTCTTCATTCTAAGTGTAAACAAATGTCTAAAAACTGCTACAAAAAATGCATTGATTATACAGAGTCACAGTTTTTTATTAATCCAAAAAATGTTTGTAAGTTTATTAGAAAAAATAAGTCTACCAAAGATATACCTAGAACTGTTCATCTTGACGGTGTTTTCAGTACCAATATCAAGGAGGTCTCAGGTTTTTATTCTAAACAGTTTAGCTCCGTTTACACTCAGTCTAGTAGAGAAAATAATGTTACAGGTTCTCCTCAATTATTTTATAGTCTCCCTAGTAATTGTTTTATTTATGTATTGAATCTGGTCTGTCTAAATTATGTAGCGATAAGTCAATTGGTCCTGATGGTCTTTCAGGAGAATTTTTATATACACTTCGTTCAGTATTATCTTACCCATTGTGGCTTTTATTTCGTAAATCTTTAGATGAAGGTATATACCCTGAAATATTAAAGCTTAGTACAGTTATACCTATTTTTAAGTCAGGTGATGCTACTAACGTTGCCAACTATCTCCCTATTTCTATATTAAGTCATATAGCCAAACTATTTGATTCATTAGTCTTACATTCAACTAAGCCATCTGTTAATTCTATGTTAATTGAGGAGCAGCATGGCTGTCCGTTCAACAAACACTTGTAATCTTGTATTTTCTAATTATGTTTTTGATGCTTTTAAAAATTCTCATCAAGTTGATGTAATATATATACTGATTTCACCAAAGCATTTGATCGTGTTGATCATATTATTTTAATGGAAGTTCTGTTTAAATTGGGTTTTGATGAGCCATTATTGTCTTGGTTTCGTTCTTATCTTATGGATCGTAAACAGATTGTTGATATTCATGGTGTCAAGTCAAGTTTTTTTCATGCTACTTCAGGTGTTCCCCAAGGAGGTCATCTCTCTAGTTTACTTTTGTCATTATTTATTAACGATATAAAAAATGTCATTATTAACAGTCGTTTTCTTCTTTTTGCTGATGATCTAAAATTATTTTTAAAGGTCAACTCATTAAATGACTTATTTATTACAAAATGATCTTAATAATTTAGTTATCTGGTCTAATGATCATGGGATGGATCTCAATTTCTCTAAACGTCATACTATGTCTTTCCATAGAATCCGTGAGCAATTAAATTATGCTTATTTTTTTTTTTTTATTTTGTATAATAAACGGGTAAAGACCCTTTTGTGTAAACAAACAGTACAGGTTTAACATTTAAGTATTTTACAATTAATAATAAACGACTCGATTTAAAACAATAATAGTAATAACGAGCTGACAATATAAAATAATAATTAGACGAGTTTAAATAATGAAACAATAATAATACAATAGGAGACAACACTAAATCAATAATAGTACAATGATAGAAAATTGCTTAATTTACAACATTGTTTAAGACTAAATATACATTTTTTTTGAAAACATTACGAGACATGAAGAAAAAATCTACATGATCAACAATAAGATTTGCTAGTTTCAATGCTCTTGGAAAGTAAGAAGTGGAGCTGTAATTGTTATTATAAAATGGAACATGAAATAAGTTTGATTTTCTTAAACAGTGATTCGCTGTATTAAATGATATCATTGATAGCAAATCTGGGGAAAAAATGTGACCATTTAACAAATCATATATAAACATAATATCAGCAACCTTTCTTCTTACTTCACAAGATATAAAGCTCAACTCACTCATTCGCATATTGTATGAGTTCTTTGAAATAAGTGGAATATTTAATTTGTAACATAATAACTTTAAGAATTTAAGTTGTACATTTTCAATTGTATTAATAAAAGTGATGTAACTAGGTGACCAGACTATTGATCCAAACTCAAGATGAGATCTAACAAGCGCAGAAAATAATATTTTCAAGGCATTTATAATTTTTAAAATTAACTGTGTTTCGGTTGATAAAGCCAAGCATCTTAAAAGATTTCTTAGTAATAGTATTAATGTGGGTGGTGAAAGACAAATTGCAATCAATAATAATCCCTAAATCTCTAATAGAAGTCGCTCTTGTAACGGAACAATTATCAATTTTGTAATCAAAGCTAATAGGATTATCGATGCGTGAAAAGGTAATAACATTACATTTGTTTATATTTAGAGGTAAACTATTTTGGTGAGTCCATATTACAAATTTATCCAAGTTAGCTTGCAAATTTAAAGCATCTGAAGGAGAATAAATTGTAGAGAAAATTTTTGCATCATCAGCAAATAGCAGTATATCGACCGTGTTATCAAAAATAGAGGGTAAATCATTAATGAACATTATGAATAAAAGAGGTCCTAAATGGGAACCTTGTGGTACCCCAGAACTAACTGGGAAGTAAGGAGAGATACTATGTGATACTTTAACCGCCTGAGTTCGACAGTTTAAATAGGACCATAACCAATTTAAAAAATGTCCATGAATACCGAATGTAGATATTTTTTTAAGAAGTAGGTGATGATTAACCTTATCGAAAGCTTTCTGAAAGTCAGTATAGATTGAATCTAACTGAGCACGATTATTTAAGGCTTTAAGTATTTTGGATTGATAAAGTAGGATGTTAGTGGAGATTTACATATTAGGTCTGAAACCATGTTGGTTTTTGCAAATAAGAGGAGAGACAATTATGGAAAGTTTTTTAGTTATTATAGCTTCAAATATTTTGGGAATAATGGATAATTTGGAAATTGGTCTGTAATTAGCTATATTTTGTCTATCCCCTGCCTTATGAATTGGGGTCACAAACGATTTTTTCCAAGAATCCGGAAAATAGCCCAGATTCAGTGATTTGTTGAAAATAAAATGCAGTGGTTTAACAAGTACAGAACTACAATTTTTTTAAAATGCTGCTGGTATACCATCGGGTCCTGTCCCTGTATGCGGATCTAAAGAAGTTAAATATTCATAAATCTCATCCGTATCAATAGACCAAGAGCTTAAATTAATATGATTATCGTTAGAAGAAAGAGTAGATAACGTTACAACCTCATTAGAATTCAAAGAACTGCTTACATAAACACTGGAAAAATAATCTGCAATAATCTGCACTTTTTTTTAATTATCAGATTTCTGAGCTCAGCATTTGCCCATGCAGGGGAATAACTATTATAAATTTTAGTTTTTGGAACAAACAAACTGAATGTGTGATAAATAAGTTCGTAAAAAGTATCGACTAAGGCGTCGAGAGACAGATTTTTGTTAAGATTTAGATTGAAATCAATACTGGAAAGAAAATGAGAGATCTCATTAAAATTACATTTTTTAAAATTGAAAATATATGGTGACTCATAATGGTCACTCATATAGGAATTTTTAAATTTAATGACCACGTCTAAAGGAGGATGATATTTATCAATTGTATGTACCAGAGAGTCAACCGAATAACAATTAGAAATAAGTTCTGCATTTTTACTAAGCATTAAACAATCGAGTGTTCGACCGTCACAATTTTTAATAATATGACATTGTTCAAGGTTCAAGAAATTTATATAACTATTAAATATGATGCCACCAGACCTATGATTTTGACTGTTTGGATCAACAGACCAGTCGAAACTACTTAAATTAAAATCACCAACTATTACAAAATAGTGTTCAGGAAATCTAAAAAAAATAGACTCAACTATATCACAATGATTTGAATAGATATCAGAGAATGTACCTGGAGGTATATAAACGCAACCTATAATAATTTTTATATTGTTAGGTAACTGTAAGATTTAAAAATATTTGCTCGATTCCAACAACAGAAGGAACAGTTAATAATTCACAGATGATATTTTTATTTACGGCAATTAATACACCACCACCTCTACTTTTTCCAAGACTTAAAATACGATCATTTCTGTACAAATTATAGTTATTAAAACCTAGTTCAGCATCAAAAACGTTAGTATTTAACCAAGTTTCATTTAAACAAATAATATCATAATTAACATTAAGTAAAGCATTTCTTAAATATGGGATTTTGGTTAGTAGACCGCGTACATTTTGATAAAACATATTTATTAAAAAAAAATTTTTCCACGAGTATTAGGACGGTCATTTCTGGAAACTATTGTTGGAGTACCTCTTACGTATCTGATAATTAATTCGTTACCACCATCACTTGATCTTCTGGACTCCAGCTTTTCACGAAGTTTTTTCATGTAGTTTCTTTGATACAACGTACGGTTCGAGCTGATACCAATATTGGAAGGTGGATTAAGTGATAATAATTTTTTCTTAGATTTCAGTATTTCAAAGACATCAATTGATGAATTAAATATCGCTTTAATTGGACGAGTTTTATCATGAACACGAATACCCAAACGTAATAATTTTACCGGTTTAATATTTATATCACCAATAATAATTGAATCAATAAGATTACTTACAACATTAGAGCCGTGAGCAATTCTGTCGGCGGTGTTATCTGAGTTGGACTCTGGAACATTGTATAATATTAGATTTGAGGCTCTCATATTACGATCGCCGATCTCATTAATGATGAATTCTTCAGAATAATGTGAAACATTATTACCATTTTTTTTTTGATTTTTAAGTTCGTTAACTTCACTAAGCAATCGGTTTATTAGCATTTTTAATTCTGGAATGTCGCGTAATCCATTATTACAGGATTCATAAAAGTATTTTAAATTACGAGTTTTTAAAGAAAGACATTTTAATTCGCTCGGTGATAGGCCGGTGCATTTAGTATGAAATACTGAAATGCATCGATCGCATTTAACAGGTGTATCAAATTCGGCACACAAAACTGAACACGATGAACAATTTTGAACATTATTAGATGTCATAGCCATGAATTAAAATTGTATTTAATTAGAGAAAACCGTAACGAAAATAACACTCTCAAGAGAAACACAACCTCACTGCGTGACTGCACAATGATGTAAATAAATGGTTTACTTTTAACTCGTGAGAACAGCATTGTTAAAGACTTAGGTATCACGCTCGACCGCCAATTTAATTTTAATTTTCATTTAGATTTAATTTGTTGTAAAGCTTTAAAATTACTGGGTTATGTTAAAAGAATATTTCAGGAGCTTAAGTTAGGGATCCCTATAAATACGTTATATTGCGCCTTTGTTAGGTCTATCTTGGAATATGGTGCTGTTGTTTGGGATCCTTATACTGCTTGTAATAGAAATCAAACCGAACGGGTTCAACGGAAATTTCTTAATTATGCAGCTTTTACTCTCAATATTGATCACATCCCTCATGATTATATAATCCCTGTCATGGACAGACCTGGTTTGAGTACTTTAGTTGACAGCTGAAGGCAACCTGCTAGTTTAAATTTTGTTAGGCAATTAATTGATGGTAAGATTGACTCTCCTGAACTTCTTTCATTCATTAACTTTAAAGTTCCGTCCACTCATATCAGACACACTTATCCATTTCTTATACCAAAATTGAACACTAATTATTTAGAAAACCAGCCGATAGTTAGGATGATGCATATGGCAAATAGCGATCCATCATTTCTTAATTAACTATTTATCATTATCAGTAACCTTAAGAGGACGCCACACCCGCATGTGTTGTCTCCGTCTTACAAATATACAACATAGCAAAAACTGTTTTGCGCGGGACAACTTTTCTCGCACCATATTTGTTGTAGAACTACCAAATTTTCACAGCATTTAAAGAAGAACTTTATCTGTGCAACAGCGTGCTCTTTTTTCAATAGCTCCATCCAATCATTTTTTATAAGCAAATGAAAAAACCAAATGTTTAGAAGCAAATAACTTGTACTGTATATATGTTATTTAAAATATGAGAACGTTTTTTCACAGATAAAGTTCTTCTTTAAATGCTGTAAAAATTTGGTAGTTCTACAACAAATATGGTGCGAGAAAAGTTGTCCCTCGCAAAAGAGTTTTTGCTATGTTGTTAATTTGTAAGACGGAGACAACACATGCGGGTGTGGCGTCCTCTTAATGTTTCTAGTTGTTATTATTATATTACTTTTAATTAAAATGATTTTATTTTTTGTTTTTTCTCTTTTATTTTAATATTTGTTATATTGTACTAATTAATTCTATTATATAGTATTTTCGATATTTTTTATTTTATTTCTACATGTTAACTGTATTATTATTATCATAATTAAAATATTGTTGTATTATCATTATGTAATTGGGCTTGACCCGTATTGTAAATAAATAAATAAATATCACATAGATGTTAAGTTATATATTGTATGTGAGGTTACTATAAAACATCACAAAATTATATTTCGGCGTTTATGGTAAATGCGACATATAATATATTTTAAAAATATTGAATACCGTATATAGTATTTTATAATATTGTTGATGTATTTAGTGGCAACAGATATGACGTAATGATTTTTGAATGTCAGCAATTACAAGCATTAACAATCGCATCAATATGTATGTTATATTAAAACAACAAATTAAGTGATATTAAATGTTTGCAGTAAAATATTACATACATATTATAAAATCAATAAAATATTACATTTTATTTTATTACATTAATTTTCCCTATTATAAATATTATTATTACTTTATTTATTATTTATACAACTTAGTGATACAATTGTCAAAGTGTCAAAGACACAAAGTGTCAACTGTGAGTTGTGACAAATCTAGTCTAGTAGTCTGTGCTAATTGCTAAATCTTATACGTACCTAATATAAAATGTCACGATTGCGAGATGAGAGGATATTAATGCTCTGCTGGTTGATTCAGACTTCGAATTTTCTAACGATTCAGGAAGTGATTTTGATGATACTGATAATGATCCTGATTTCGTTGACAATTCAAGTATACATAATACAAATTATAGTAGTATTGATTCAGATGCAGGTAATTAAATAATATTACTGTAGTTTATGTGTGCTTCTCAATTGAAAATATTAATTACATTTTTAAATAATTAATTTGTTTTAGAATCAGATAATAATAATTCTACGGTAAGTAGTATTAATATCACACATCAAGCACCACCACCAAGGCCAAGAGGTCGCCCAAAACTTATTGCACCACCTGCAGCTTTAACTTCTCGAGTCTGGCGCGCTGATGATGGACAAACTAATAGTTCCCCTTAAAACCCTGACTTAGAAGAAGTAGGATTAAATGCTAATTTAATTGACACATTATTAGAAGGTTCACCATTTGATTTTTTTAAAATTAATTATCGATGATAATATTATTCAAAACCTAGTAGAACAAACAAATATATATGCCTTACAAAAATTAAGTTCAACAACGTTTTCAAGTCAAAGCAGAATGTATAAATGGACAAATACAGATGTAGAAGAAATTCATAATTTGTTGGGACTTGTATTATGGATGGGGTTGGTTCAGTTACCTGAAGTTGGGTTGTACTGAAGTAATTCCCCCCTATTTTTTACAAACTTTGGGAACTATATGAGTAGAAATAGGTTCCAAATCTTATCAACCATGATCCATTATTCTAATAATGAAACCAGTGATCCAACAAATCGATCACATAAATTAGGAACAATAGTTGAAGACATTATGGTTAATTCCAATTATTGTATGGCTCCACATGATACTTTGTGTATTGATGAATCTATGATACCTTTTACTGGTAGACTATTCTTTAAGTATATAAGTATCTAAAAGACAAAAGACACCAATATGGGATAAAGTTATTTAAACTTTGTATGCCTCCTAACTACACAATCAATATGAAAGTATATGCTGGAAAAGAAGAATTTACTACGGAAACAAGTGTTTCATCTAAAATGGTTATGGAATTGATAGACCCATATTTAGATTTTGGAAGGATACTAATTATTGACAACTTGTATACTAGTCTTGAATTAGCAGAACAACTTGGACAACTAAAAACTTATTGCATTGGGACATTAAGGTCAAATAGAAAATCAAACCCTAAGGAAGTTGTTAATTATAAATTAAAAAAAGTCAACAGTTTTCATTAAGAAGTGATACTAATGTAATGGTTTTAAAATGGAAGGACAAGAGGGACATTCTTATGTGCAGTACCAAATAAAATGATTAACATAACTAAACATCAGAAGGTATCTCAAAAACCAGAATCATGAATTATGTACAACAAATTAAAAGGCTGTATTGATTTCTCTGACCAAAAGTCTTCTTTTTCTAACTCTCTACGGATAACTATGAAATGGTATAGAAAAGTACTTGTTGACTTATTATTAAATATTGGTGTCGTTAATGCTGCATGTTTGTTTAACTTGACTACTAAGAGTACCATGAGTATTACGTATTTCCGATCTTCATTAGTCGAAAGTTTAATCAAAAAGACTGTAAATGTGAAATCTCCATCTGCTGAAAAACATAAGCTACAAAAGTGTAAACATAGTAGGTGTTGTTTATGTTATAAAAAAATGAAAGAAGAGAAGGGGAGGAAATATGCCAAGGTGTATTGTACCAAAGTGTTCACAAAATGCACTGTATGTGACAAAGTTTTATGTCAAAGATGTTTTTTTGATGTACACCACCATATTATACCTAAATTAAAATGAAAGACTTTATTATTATTCGTATCCTAAAAAAATGTTATTAGCAAGTTTTAAAAATTATTTTATTTTTATTATAAAAAATGTGACATAAGTTACTGTTATTATTATAATTTAAAAAAAATGTTATTATTATAATTTTTTTTTTTTTTTTTAAATATTTATTAGAATATAAACAATCTATACAAGTAAGTACAATAAGCTTATGTGCTAAGAGAAAACATGGCATGAAAAATTGAGTAAGAAGCCACCCACTGACGACACTAAGCATGAATTATTTATATATATGTTTTGTTTTTTTTTGTTTTTTTATTTTTTTGCAATATGTTGAGATTAAAATGAATATATACATGCAATGAACATAGTATATTTTAATTTTATAATTGTATTAGGTCACGACACCATTTCCTTTTTAGCCTGCGCCTTGGATTCCCTGGGAGGGTTAGAGAGGAGAGGTTTTTAATAAGAGGATTTTGGTGGGATATATTATTATATTATTATAATTTAAAAAAATGTTATTATCGGGTTATACAAATTAATTAATTTTGTTTTTATTATAAATGTATAAAGCCAGTTATAAAGATTTTTATTTTATTTTTATTATATAAAATGTGACATAAGTTACTGTTATTATTATAATTTAAAAAGATGTTATTATTATAATATAAAAAAATGTTATTATCCAGTTATAAAAATTAATTAATTTTGTTTTTATTATAAATGTATAAAGCCAGTTATTAAGATTGTTATGTTTTGTTTTTAATATAATGTCAGTTTTGAAGATCATTTTATTTTGTTTTTATTTTAAAAATAGTTAATTATTAATGTAACTTACCTAGTTAATATTATAATCATTATTACAATATAACATAAAAAAAAATGAGATCCAATATTGGATCTCATTTTACAGGTATTTCCAAGAAAGTGTTTAAAATAAATCTCCAGTGCCACGAGTCAAAAATTGGGTCTCACCCAAAACTAACAAAGTAACCTAAAGAAACTTCTAATTTAAAGTTGCTTAACGTCAGTATGAAGTTTCAAAAATGTTTAATGAAATTAAAGTTTCTGTTGTAGATTCAACAGTCTGTCGATACTGGTGATTTCTATCTTATTGAGTGAGGCATTACTCCACAGCTTGGTGAGAGGTATCTGCACCAACATGTTGCTCGGGTCCTATAAGATTGTGAGTTATTTACCTGGTGGATTTTTTTTTTTTTTTTAAAAGACATGGTTTTCACAAGTAATTTAGTTTTCTAGTTTTCTACATACATACATACATATATACAATTAACACAATTGTTTATATGAGATACGCCTGTCACTGACTTATCTTCATGATATTTTTTAGTATTTTTAAAGTTGATCGTGCGATAACTTCCCTTGTTACTGATAGTTACCGTGTTGTTACCGTGTACTTCTTGTACTTTATACGGCCCATGATAAATTAGGAACAACTTGTGTGTTTCTTTGTCTTCAGCTGACGATAGTCGGTGTTCTTTTATAAGTACCTGATCCCCTACGTTGTATTGAGGAAATTTCTTCTCCTTATCTTTGTATGCATTTCGTATTTCTGATTTCTCCTTGATACATTTTATCACAATCTGTACAATGTCTGGTGGTATTTCAGTTCCATCGTATTTAGGAAAAGCTATTAGTTTGGTCAGTGATAATCTGGTTTTTTCTCCAAACATTATAAAAATTGGTGTGTAGCCAGTGGTAGTATGGGTGGTAACCAATATTAAGTTTGAAATTGAGTCCATTCAAAAAAGACAAGATTCTTTTCGCGAACTAATAGAAACCTACTTTGAAAAATTATCAAATCCATCTAGATACCCATCACCTATCATCAATCTGGGATTCAGATGTATTTCATGAGATTATCTGCATTGAAAATGATAATGAACTGGAAATAATGGAAGAAAAGCTGATCACGGATAAATCTTATAAAAACCAAGTTTTATGTACCTACCTACTTTACATTTATTTATTATAACTGAAATATTATATTATTTTTATTATAATAATAACTGGAATTCAAAAAATATTTCAGATTGTATCATTAAATCGACTAGTTGGAGATTCCTTATCAGAAACAGTTAGAAAAATTATGCAGAAGTTATTTTCTGATAAATTTCTTTCTAAATAGATACTCGTACATAGGATTTAAAGGAAAACATCAATTTTCTACTTTGCAATGTTGTAGCTTAATATATGGTAAGTCATTTTTAAAGTCCATCTTTTATACTTTATTAGTAAACAAAGCTTTGACGTCTTGTAATTCTGTTGACAGAGTCCATAAATTAGATGAAAAAATGTTGGTTAGCTCAAGCTCCGTCTCGTTTAAAAAAACAAGCTGCTAAAAATATATGTTCTCCTAGTGACCATTTATAAAATTAACTTTAAATAGTTACCTGCTTAGTTTTCATTATTAGTAACTCATCTCCAAACGTAAATATAAAAGTATGTATTTATTGTTATTTTGTATTATTTTTTCATTTCTCTGTACATTTATATTTAATGTGGGGCACACAGCATATTAAAATTAAAAATTATTTGGAATATAGTCATATTTTGATTGTATTTATTTAAAATATATATAGCTGGTTTCATAAACAACAAGTCTCTAGTATGGAGATTCTTATTATTTTGTATTTTTAGATTCTGAGTGAAACGATGAATGTATTGATTTTACAATGATGTGTGTTTTTTTTTAATTTTTGTTTTAGGACAGTAAAAGGGCTTGGATTTTGGTTTTTGGTGTAACTCTAAAACAAATGAACGTATATACATGACATTTTCACTAGTTGTTTATATTTGCATTTACTATACACGATAACATTTTCAAAATATTTTGATTTATTTTGAACTGTTTAGGGACATTTTAATCGGCCATTTAAGAACACGGCTAAACAGAGAGAACATTTACTCCATATGCTCGAAGTATTTAAAAACATGAGAGTTCTGGATACCAAGAAAGCCGATGGAGAAACCGTAATAATTGATGTTACAAAACGAATGAAATTTTTGAATGGTTGGACGATAACAATTAATTCGTTATTAATGTTGTGGGATGACATAACCAAAACACCGAATTTTGTGTTATGTTAAGTTAAAAATTCACATCATAATGCTACTTAAGTGATCCAAGAGACGATGATTTTTTGGCAGAAGGCGCGCATACCTACGAGAACTGAACAAAAATGTGTAAAAAAGTTGGAAGATTTATACCAAGAATGGAGAAATTTGCAGAAGTTAGAACATAGGAAAAGTGAAATACAAATGCATAAAAATGCACAGTTTATTTCAAAGCTAGATGATTTATTCGATATTGCGCACGTAGACGCTTTAAATTTAATTTCTATCGAGGAAGACAGAGCTTTTTTAGTTGCTCAAAGACAAAAAGGGCGACTTGGATCGTTGCTCGTAATCGATAAAAATAAGTGTATGAAAGAAAAAAATTCAGAAGAACGGATGCAAGCGGAAAATAAAAGAAATTATCGAGCTCACCAAGAATTAGTAACTTTATGTAAGTATATTAAGATCAATAATTACATTTGTATAAGTAAGTTTTGATATGTAATAATGAGAATTTATTTTAGCCGAAACTGTTCAACTACAGTCGTCCAGTAGCACTGACGAATATGACGATACAGATAGTGAAGCAATTATGTTTGAAAATGTGGCCGGTCGGCGGTCCGTCAACCAAACATTTCAGATCAAGCAGAGGATTTGAAGCATTCGTCTCCGAAAAGCTTGCAGTCGTACTGGATAAATGCAAAATAAGTGATCGGAATGCTGTACATCTTTTAATTGCTACTGCTGAAGCTTTGGGTTATAATAATGTAAATAAAGGTAATAATGTTAATAAACTAATTATTAATCGGTCATCAATTCGAAGCGCTCGTATAGAATTTCGTAAAGAAAGTGCTAAAAAAATACGTCAAGACTATAATTTAGCAAATGAAGAAACAGTAGTTGTACACTGGGACGGAAAACTTCTTCCTGCATTAACGGGGAAAGGATTAGTTGATAGGCTTCCTATAGTCGCTTCGGTTAATGGTCATGAACAATTGCTAGGTGTCCCAGCATTAAACACGGGAACTGGAAGTTATCAAGCTAATGCGGTGTACCAAACGCTTGTAGAATGGTGTTTAACTGAAAATGTACAAGCTTTTTGTTCGGATACTACTGCATCAAATTCAGGACGTTTAAATGGAGATTGTGTTTTACTAGAGCAATTATTAGAACGTGAAATCGTATACCTACCATGCCGCCATCATATATATGAAATAGTATTAAAAAGTGTTTTCGATCTCAAATTAAGTGGAACATCGGGTCCAGATGTGGCTATTTTTAAAAGATTCCAATTAGCCTGGGTAACAATGGATACTAAAATGTTTAATTCTGGAATAGAAAATTGTATTGTAATGGGTTCTGTAAATGACGTGTGTGATGATATTATTAAATTTTCTATAGATCGACTAGAGGAAAATAACCCAAGGGATGATTACCGAGAGCTTTTAGAGTTGACGGTAATTTTTCTAGGTGGAATACTTCCTAATGGTATCCATTTTAAGAAACCAGGTGCCATTCATCATGCCCGTTTGATGGCCAAAGCTATTTACAGCTCAAAAATATATTTATTTCGCGAGCAATTTCGGTTAACAGTAAAAGAGGAAACTGCATTAAGAAATATTTGTATTTTTATTATTCGACTTTACATTAAGTCATGGTTTGACGCACCCTCTGCCATCAAAGCACCTTTCCAAGACTTAACTTTATTAAAAATCTTTTAAATTATATTGCAATAGATAAAGACACATCTCAGATTGCAATTAAAAAGTTCTGTGGTCATCTGTGGTATTTGTCAGCAGAATTATGTGGATTTGCTTTTTTTGATGAGGCTGTTTCGATCGATACGAAGAGAAAAATGGTATAAGCTCTTAACAACGAAAAAAGTACATCGGAAATGTTATCAACTACACAACGTATAATAATATCTCCGAAAAATGCTAACGAGCTATTAGAAAAAGAAATCGAGGATTTTGTATGTGTAAAAACTAATAATCTATTTAAGCGATTTGCCATCAACACAGATTTTTTAAAACTAGACCCGTCAACTTGGAAAAGTAATGAAGATTTTCAAAAATCAATAGTTCTTTTAAAAAAAATTCCTGTTATCAATGATGTCGCAGAAAGAGGTGTAAAATTAATAGAGGAATATAATGACAAAATAACTAAAGACGAATCCCAAAAACAGTATTTACTACAAGTTGTTAGCGACTACCGCAAAAAATTCACTGACCACAAAAAAGAAACGCTTATTACATCATTATAAATTGAGTTGTATAATTATATTTTAAAACGTATTTCATATAATTAGTTATAGTCCAAAGTAATTATTAATTACCTATAATTAAATTAAATTATTTGTCTTTGTTGTTATTTCAAATACAAAATCTATAAAATATATACTGTTTTGATACTTACATTCGAATACACGTAAAAATGTAATATTTAAAAATAAAATACAGGAGTACAAAATTATTGCAAATATCATTTCCTATAGTTAATGTTCTTGCAATTTTATTGTAGAATTTGTATTTCTAGAGTTATGATTGGTTATATTTAAAAAAACTGAAAATTTTTGTAATTTACTATTTTTAAAACTAGAGCTTTTGTGGCACGGGTTAAATTTAATCAATTTGTCTGAAACTTTTTTTGTATGCTTTTTTTTAGTAGTGGAATGGATTTAGGGGGGGTAATTTTAAAAAAAAAAACATCGAAAATTAAGGACCACCCTAAACACTAATCTTAAATATTATAATATGACAGCTATACAGATAGTGTGCATTTGGTAAACAGACAGGTTTAAGTAATGTATGTGATGAGACACTTATGGTTGAAAATAATTAACTGAAAACAAAAATGGTTAAGAATACAGAGTAAAGTTGTTTAACATTGGAAATCGACTTAATGAGATATTGACATAGATTATAACATTTATACAGCTAAAACATTATTTATGTAAAAATTAAAATCATTTAAGGAAACGCAGGAAAATAGATCAACTTTTAAATAATTAACAAGTTGCATAGGAGCATTTTGACCATAGTTTGAACGCTGGAGTTGTACATAAAAAGTATTTAATTGCCTAGTTCTACGATTTGGAATATTAAAATTCAATAAAGAGTTGTGATATATGCCTAAATTACGCTAAGCACCAACAGCAATTGGACCAATCATTTTTGTTTACATATTTTAAATCCTATGAAACTGCCAACCATTCTAACTATGGGAATTTAAATGTTCCTCCAGATATTTTTTTTAATTATATTAATCAATTAGATGACATTTTTATAGTAAATTTCCCTATCTTGGCAGTTGAAGAAAATTTTTGGCAGAAAACTAAAAAATGTAATTGACAATGTTCCATTTGAACATCCATGCAAACACTTTGACCTAGAATTTCTTAAAAGTCTATATATTCACCTAAGGATATATTATTCAATAAATAAAATAAATAAAGATATGTCATTAACAGGTAGGAAGCATAGAAAGTTAGATATTCTTTCTCACCTATAAAATATTATGTATTATAATTTTTATTATGTATTATTAGTATTATTTTTTATTCTCGCATGTAATGTACTAGTATTGTTGTTTTTATTAATATATTTTGTTTATTGTGAATTATTTGCATATATTATTTGTTATGTCTGTATGACTTAATATATATTCCTATCACATAATACAACTTACTGTTCCTACTAGTTAGCAATTCTCTAATTATTATATTAAAAAAAAAAAAAGAGATTGGAAGCTTGTTATATTTTGTGTAGGAAGACTATAATTACAGGAATTGCAAACAGTTGTAGTTAAGTACACCAAAAAGCAAGCTTGGGCAAGTTAATAATTTTAACTCAGTTAAGTTAAGTTAATATGCACAAATAACAAAAAGTAAATTTGTTTATACAACTCTAGCATTGTTATATGTATTCTGTGATGATAGCGTACTTAATTTTTTTACCCACCCAAAACTGCATTATAGACTAGTGTTTAAATTGTATACAGTACCTATTTCCATATAAGTTAGATTCCAATGATATCACGGTAAATATTTTTTGACATGAATACGAAATAGACTGAAATAGTGAAATATAATATAATTAAAAACAAAATAAATTAACTTAACTTACTTCTTAAAATGAAAAGTAAATTTCACATTAATTAAAAAATAAATTTAGTAGGTAAGTTAACAGTTAAATTAATGAGCCTAGCCAAAAAGTACCACCAAATAATACTAACTGCTTATTCAAAATTAAATTTAAATGTATCAAAATATTCTGCTCTGTAATATGAACATAGGCGCAATTAGGGAGGGGGGCTTTAGGGGATAATCCCCCCAAACATTTTGTTTTAAGGTTATTCAATATTATAAAAGTAAGGTTTTAGCACCCCCCATGTTCCAAACGCTTTTTGCGCCTATGAATAAGAAATTAAAAATACATGTTCATTAATAATTGGAAAACTTAAAAATGATTTAACAATAGAAATAGTAAATCGATACATGCATCGTTCAGATTCTAAAATATCATTTTGGAAATAATGAATATAAGATTTTTTATTGTAAAAATGGGTTCCACTTTTTTTTTCAGTGAAAACTGGTCAAACTGTTCGGTTGAACTGGCCCTACTGTATGCCTTCGGTGTCATGGCCGACTGACTCAAGTAATTGTCCTATGCTGCCTATGTAAACTGTTATCAGTGTCCATTCTGATTGTTATGTTCTGTGGTCTACGGGTGCGCCCGGTGGCCGGGTCGCGTGATAACAAATTCGGTTCTTCGTTTTGTATTCCCGGGACGTGTACCGTACTAAAACCTAATTAGCTAGTTATAGTGACCAACGTGTTAATTTTGAATTTTTGTCTTTGGCTCTATATAACCACGTTAGTGCCGAATTGTCTGTTAGGAGTTCGAACCGTCGGGTCTCTAGGTATGGTTGAAATTTGTCCGTTGACAACTAACTGCTATTCACTCGCGTTCGACCGCGGTGTAACTTGTTTGTGTCCCGCTGAACTGTTTGCTTGCTTAGGATACTATGCGCCTTTCCTTCGGTCTGTTCCACCGTTGGAATAGTACCGCACCAGCTCCAATTTCGCTTGCATCGGTTTGCAGACAAAACGGTTTGGTATAATCGGGTGGGGACTATTTCGGCGTGTTACTAGAGCGTTCTTATAGATTTGAACGAGCGTTGTTCGACATCTATTCATTTCCACTTATTCACCTGTTTCAGTAAATTTGTTAGGGATGCTATGGTGTCTGGCGTAGTTGTCTACAAACTGGTTGTACCAGTTGCACACCCCCAAAAATTTCTGTACTTCCCTAAAGTTATGTGGAACCGGAAAATTGTCAATGCAGACTAATTTTGCAGGTTGTTTTTGAATGCCTTCCAAGTCTACAATGTGCCCCAAAAATTAAATTTCGTGAAGTCCAATTTAAAATTTTTTTGTGTTGCACGTTAGTCCAAACTAGGGCTGTTCGATTATTTTTTTTACCACTCGATTATTAATTTAAAGTATTATCGATTATTTCGATTAATCGAAAATTAATAATCAAACAGAAAATCGATTTTTTAACGACTGATTAATCGATAAACCTATTTTTTTAATGACTGAATAACTGATTAATCGATTTTTTTAATGACCGATTAACCGATTAATCGATTTTTTTTTAATGACTGAGTAACCGATTAATCGATTTTTTTACTAAGGGCAAATTGATTCCTTAACTTCTACACAATTTTAAACAGGATTTGCAGTAAGTCATTTATATGTAGATGTCCACTTTTATATTATCCTTAATATATTCCCAATCATTGAACTCAAAACATCATATTAGCACAGATTTTCAAATTTAAATATTTAATCTATATTATTAGTATGTATCTATATATGAATTGAGAACTTTACATATTTTAAAGATAATCTGAGTCTAAAAATATTTTATAGTTTATAATATAAGACTAAACTATAACTATAACAATATAAATTATGAATAATAATAAGTTGTGAATATACAAATGTTGCTGTATAATAATATTTAAATTATATTATAATTATTATTCTTATTATATTATTATGTATTCATTGTTCCATTAAAAATCTAAAAAAAATTTACTTAGTACTTAAGAACATCAATTATGCTACTTGCTACTATGGCTATACGAGGATAATTGTTAGGTACCTACATGAATAGTTAATCATAATAAACCAGACTGCTTTTTTTCAGTCATCTTGACTGTGACTTTTTTAATTCAAACATAGAATAGTAAATATTCTATTAAATGAACAAAATTATTTTTATACACATATCATGTAATAAGTTAAGCTTAAGCTTGAGTTATTTATTATTTTTAAGAAATTAAAACTTATAAAAATAAAACATACAAATGTACCTTTATTAATAATATAATAATTAAAACATAACATTTATCTTTATAATAATGTAATAAGTAAAACATACCCTTTGGCCTTTTGGGTGTAAACTAACAAATAATATTAATAATAATATTTCAGAAATTAAAAGCATTTGGAACAAATTTTTTGTTCATCGAGAAATAAATCAGTTGAGAACAATGATCTTCAGTAGGTGATGCCCTCTGATCAGTAACCATGTTACCTGCAAAGCTAAACACTCATTCGGAGGCCACGCTAGTGGCTTGTATACACATAAATTTATTTGCCATTACTTTCAAAAATGGAAACATTGTTCCATTTAGATGCCACCATGTAATTGGGCTTTGTTCATAGTCAATTTTTGGTAGATTAAAATATCCATTTATCTCATTTTCTACTTAATCGCCAATAGATAGTTCCTGGATAGAAAGAACACAAAACAGCACACATTGTAATACAATATACATATATATTATACATACAAATAAACTATTAAAATAATAAAAATGTATGTTATGTTATTTAATTAAAACTCTATAATATATACAATAACAATATAGATAGGTTAGATATAGATGTATAATAAAAAGAGCAAATATGTACATATTATATATTTATATTATTTAATAACAAACTATAAAATAATATATATTATGTACAACTAAAAAGTATAGATATAAATAAAAAAACGCGTGTGTCTCAAGCGACCTTCATAAGATGTGAAAACATATATGAGCTTAGAATTTGAAGGAAAAATTTGGAAATAAATCACAAGTCTGAAAATATTACCTCCATAGAAAATTCGCTCGGCAGGAATTCCGATCTTGACCTACCCCCAAGGTTGACGCCCAGTCTGACGTCATAATTAGTCTGTTAGTGGC